ACAAGTGGACATCCGTGTATGGGTGTGCGCTGGATAGCACAGCTTGACGGCTCCATGTGGGCTTCTGTTTTGCAGAGCTAGGGATGGAACCTAGGTCCTCACACATGCTAGGCAAGTGCTCCACCACTGAGCTACACCCTGGCCCTTTAATTTTTTTGAGAGGAGTCTCACTGTGTGGCCAGGCTGGTCTCAATTACTGGGCTCAAGTTATCCTCCTGCCTCAGCTTCCCAACACTACAAGCCTGGGTCTCATGACTTTTTGTTTGGTGGGAGGTAATGGGGATTGAATCCAGGGGCACTTAACCACTGAGCTAAATCCTCAGTCCTTTTTGTTTTCTATTTTGAGACAGAATCTTGCTAAGTTGCTTAGGCTGGGCTCCGACACCCTTCTGCCACAGCCTCCTGAGTGGCTGGGATCACAGGCGTGGCCATTGTGCCTGGCTGTACTCTACTCTTATAAGACTGGATGGCAGAAGGTTTGTGTGCCCCAGCATCACCACAAACATACCAGGGGACCTGTCACACGAAGACATTGCTATGGCTGCAAGGTCAGTGGACGACAGGACTTTTTCAGCTCCATCATAATCTTAGGAGACCACTGATGTCTGTGGTCCATCGTTAACCAAAATGCCAACACGTGGTGCGTGGCTGTGTCTGTGTTTATACCGTGGACTTTTAAACACGTCAATCATAGCCCGCCACTCCCCAGCTCAGCTTAGAACTTCCCTCTGCTTTCCAACCCTCTGGGGCAAACCGCAGATCCTCAGCCACCGCCCAGTTTGTACCCCGCCCTCGCCAGCCCCCTCCAGCTCCGGCTGCTGCTGGGGCCTCCTCCTTGGCCCTTCCCAGTGAGCTCAGGTCAAAGCTCTGTTCAAATGTCCTGACCTCAGAGAGGCTTCCTGGGCCCCAGGGTCCCCCTCAGTCTCTTCCCCGGCTTTTTTGCAGCCTTCCTGTATCTTGTTTTTGTTCTTCACATTTTCTCATCCCCCTGGAGTATGAACCCCGAAAGGTAGGGTTCTCCCCGCACCCCACGCTCAGCTGTAACCAGCTCAGCGCCTGCACAGCTACACTGGCTGAGTGTTACCAGCGTGACCACCCCAGAGTCCAGTCTCCTGACCCCCAGACTCGGCCCTCCACAATTCCTTCTTCATGCTGTGGACTAAGGAGATTCTCACAGGAGTCTTTAGAAGGCCAACTTCTGTTACCTGGACTTGGTGCCAGGAACAGGGCTGTTGATTCATCTAACTTGTACCCAACCCTGGAGACAGACAGGAGGGTAGGAAGGCCAGTACTGTCCTCCTGTGACTCATGGGGAAACTCAGTCTGTAACGACCCCTAGGGTTGCACAGCTGGTAGGTGGCAGGCAGGGATTTGGACCCAGGCAGTCTGGGGTTAGCGAGCGGAGCCTGTGTCTTTCAAAAGACGATAGCTGGATTTCTGTCTGGAGTCCCATTGGGATGGACACAATCCAGGGCACAATCCCCACCGGTCAGCCCTGACCCACAAGGCCTGTTCCCCTGGGCCTCCTCTGAGCTGTCTAGGTCATTCTGAACCCTTCTGCCTGGCCCTGGCCTGGAATCAAGTGCAAGGGCTCCACCCCCACCCCCGTCCAGTACCTGAAGCCCAGTGCGCACAGCCTGGGGGTGGACACTGCAAGGACCTTGGGTGCTGCTCTGCGCCTGTGTTCTTACACCGTCAAACTTTCCAGGGATGGAGTCCGACCTTGGCTTCATTCCCTAATCCTCTGCTCTGCCCTTTCTTAGCCATCTCCATTGTGTGGTCCAGGGCAGCAGCTTTCTGGTGGTGTTGAAATGCCCTTGACCTCTTGAATTCACACACACACACACACACACACACACACACACGTACACACGCACACATGCAGCCTACAACCTATAACCTATGGGAGTGACACCCCGTGCAACACAGTCTGATGTTTCCTATTCTGTTCTATTATTTCATTTTTTAAAATTTATTTTTATTTTTTGCCCTGGCTGTGAATCTCAGGTTTTTATGTGTCACATGCTGCCACTGAGCTATAATCTCAGCTGGCTTCCATTTTATTTTTATTTTATTTATTTACCAGGGATTGAACTCAGGGGCACTCAACCACGGAGCCACATCCCCAGCCCTATTTTGTATTTTATTTTAGAGACAGGGTCGCACTGAGTTGCTTAGGGTCTCACCACTGTGGAGTCTGGCTTTGAACTCACCATCCTCCTGCCTCGGCCTCTCAGGCCACTGGGATTCCATTTTAGTTTTAAATTCAACCCACTGAATAGATCTGTAGCACAGAAGGTGTCACAGTCTTCTGATGCTGCTGCTGAAAAATGCTGTTCTAGAGCGGAAACACCCCTTTCCACCAAGCCCAAAGACCACTCTCTAATAACTAGAGTAATGACTCCAAAACTCATTTGTTCTGGGGACTGAGTCTGTGTCAGGCACTGTTGTAGCATTTTGTAGTATCAACCCAGTTGATCCTAGCAACAGTTGAGCATTATGATTATCATTGCCACATTATAGACATGGAAATGGGAGCAGAGAGATTTAGGTCCCTTGCCCCGAGTCCCCGCAGCACCACAGCGCCCCGCAAGGCAGTGTGGTTCCAGGGAGATGGTTACTCTCCACTGTGAAGCTTCACCACCCTTTTCTGGCCAAAGCAAAAGGCTAAAGACTTACGCTTCTAAGCTGGGTGGAAGGGAAAGCAGAGCGAAGTGGACTTCCTGCCAGGCAGGGCACAAGGGGACAGGTGTCTGGAGCCCCTCGTGAGGGGGCTGAGGAAGGGGACTGGCTCACACTTGTTCCCCTCTGTGCCCGGGTGCTCAGTGTGGCTGCCTCGAGCTAACCCTGCTTGTGGGCACGCGTGGGCGACAGTGCAAGGCTACCAGAGGTTGGGCAAGGACCCTGCTTGTGCATCTGCTGCAAGAAGCTGCGGGAACCAATTGGCTTGGGAGGGGAGATGGGGGAGCGGGGCTCCAGGGACACGGAAAAGAGGCCTGGAGGCCTGGCTGAGGCCCATCTGCACTGGCCAGCCCCACCCTTTATGGACTGAGGCCTCCATACAATGGGCCGAGTACTTCCCAGCGACTCTTTGCAGAGAAAGGCACCCAGCCCAGGAATAGCAGTGTGGACCTTCCAGTGGTCCACCAAAACTTGCCATTTTCCCCTTAGGAGGGCCATAAATTCTCCACCGCATCTAGTTCATTTTATTTACAGTTCAAAGGGAACTTGAGGTGGCTTCCTCCAATACACACATGACAACAGTTAAAAATAGAGTGAGAGAGATCAGAAACCAGAGAGAGAGGAAGGCAGAAGGCGATTCTATCAGGAACTTGAGGAACGCCGATGCCGATGACTATAATTGATCGTTAAATTTAGTTTGAACGATCAACAATAAAAAAAATTAAAAAAAAAAATAAAAAAATAAATAAATAAATTTAGTTTGAGCTTCCTGGCACCCCTGGCAAAGGGGAGGGGCACCCTAAGTCTCTGTGGTTAGGGGTCTCAGAAAGGAAGTGTATCAGGCTTTCAGGAAAATGAAACTTCTTAGGAGCTGCAGCATGGCACGGTAGTGAAAGGAGTGAGGATCCGGAAGAAGTCGCACGTTTGCTGACTGTGGCAAATGATTCAACCTTCCAGAAACTCAGTTTTCTTGTCCATAAGTTGGGGGTGATGAGATTTAGTGATAAGATTTACTGCTGGGCATGTGGTGCATGCCTGCAACCCCGCAACTCTGGAGGCTGAGCTGAGGCAGGAGGATCAAGTTTAAAGCCCTGTCTTGAAATAAAAATAAAAGGGATGGGGGTATAGCTCTGTGGTAGAGCACCCCTAGGTGCCATAATCAGTATTAAAAAAAAAAATCTTACTTTGCTGGGCTGCTGTAGGGGTCAGCGAGGATAATATGTGAAGCACATCTTAGTGAATTCCCCTGGGAGCATCTCAGAAGTCAAAAAGAGCATGATTAAAATTGTCAGAAAATGCACATCCCATGAAGAGTTCTTTCGGAAGCTGCAAGTATCCCTGCTGTTTCCAATGAGGAAGTCTGTAAACCAAGGAGCAGGGTCAACTGCAACCTAGCCAAGCAGGGCTGGGGACTAGAGCAAGAACTCTCAGGACAGGCTGCTGGCTTCACCACCACAGTGTGTCTCTGAATTGCCCCCTTTTCTCCTGACTTTTGCCAGGATCTCCTGGGTGTGGGGTGGAGACCTCTGCTGAGCCCCTGTCAAGCCCAATTGTCAGAGTCTGAGGAGGAGGAGGGCTGTGAGCCTCAGAAGTCCAGTGAGCCTGTGGGGGAACAAGGGTCCATGCCTGCAATCCCAAGAATTCTGAAGCCAGCACCACTGGCTGGAGCTATCCTGGTGCAAGGCAGCTTGTGGATAAAAGGAGTTCCTCTCCACCCCTCCGGTTCCCCCATGGGTCCACAGGAAAGGTCACAGCTACTTCACTCCCAGCAGATTGAGGAGGGTGGGGTGTTTGAAGCCATGGCACTACTAAACACTTGCCTGGCTCATGCCCCACCGCATCCTAGAAGGATAGGAGGTCACTTTGGTAATCTTGGAGATAGGCTGCCCCCCACGTCCATGCTCTTAGAGACTTTGAGCCTCTCAGGCTCCCTTTCACCCCCCTTAGTCCTCTCTTGCCCTGTTGCCTGCGTGGGCACTCGGAGGGTTCTTTGGGTGGTGAGAGCTGAGATTACTCCCTCCCCCGCCCTCCAGCTTTCTCGGGATCCCTATTAAAATTCTTCAGTGTGTGAATTTGGAGGTTTTATGGGTTCATAGTTTCCTTTGTATAGAAAGAAAACTTGTTTGGAAGCAGGGCAAGGTGCAGCTTCCAGAGCACCCAGGACGCTGCCCCTCTGGCCTCAGGCCGTGGGGCGGGCGGGGCGCCAGCGAGGTGCAGGAGGACCTCTTGTTTTTCCTGTTGTAAGCAAAAGGAAACAAAGTGGGAAGTGGAGTGTGCGGGTTGTCAGCCGGCGGGCGGTCCCCACCGCGCCCCGCCTCCTCGCCTCGAGGCGCACTAGCGCTCAGCGCCTTCGCTCCGTGCGGCCGCCGGGCCGAGCCGCCCCAGCTCCTGCCAGCTGCGCCCGACCGGTAAGCACGCTTCCCTGGCTGCGTCTGGCGAGGTGGGAAGAGGACAGGGACCTGGGGCTTCGGAGGCGGACAGCTGCGCTCTGGACCGCAAGGTCCGCTCGCGGGCAGGTTCCCCGAATGCACAGCTCGTGCGCGCTGACCCTGGCGTCACCCTAAGTCTCTATAGAGTCGGGCAGTGGGCACCCTGAGGTTAGGCCTCGTGGACCCTGGCCGGGGCTGCACCGGGAGCACGGAGCGTCCCTTGTGCGTCTGCCGAAAGGAGCGCGCGCAGCTCCCCTGCGCCTGTACCGTGCGCCCTGACGAGCCCGACCGCGAGCTCCCTGCTGGCAGCAGGGTTCCGGCCCGACCTAGGCGCGAGGAGACGGGAAGCGCTTTCGAGAATGCCGGTCTCCGAGCGCTTGTGAGCGGGACCAAGCGGCCTCTCCGACTGGAGGCGAGATTCAGGCTGCGCTCCGAGCGGTGTCGCCCAGGTGCGTCCGGCGAGGCGCGGAAGACCGGGCACAACTCCCCTGCGTCCTGGCGCTGCGCTCCCTCCCAGCCTCGATGAGACAGGATCAGGGCTGGAAAGGGGCCGGGGCCGAAGGCTATGGGTTCTCCCTCCCGAGCGAGCGAGGACGCGCGGCTCCTTCCCTCTCCCCACCCGCCCGCGCAGCTGGCCGCGTTCACGGCAGTGGCGAGTGCGAGATCAGCCACCAGATCTGCGGCTGAGCCCGGGTTACAGCGGCAAAACCGCCTCCAGCTTTGCATTTCCGGACCTTTTTTTTTTTTTTAACACTCTTACCCGTAATTCAGTCTGAATGAGACTTTAAAAAAAAAATAGTTTCCTGTTTTTATTTAGGCTTCCTCCTCTGCATCTCATCCTTGAGATCGAGCAAAGGAGCGATAGGGTGGCATTCCGTGGGCTGGCGGGGGTGGAGGGGACGAACAATCGACTGCGCTTTGCCCTGGCCAGGAGATGGGCGTCAGAGAACCGGGAAAGGACTGGTGGGAGGCTCGGGAAAGCGCGTTTCGGAGGGAAAGAGGTGGGGATGTGATTCTCGGGGCCTGGGAGGGATCCCTGGGGCGGTCCACATACTGGGTCACCGCTCGCTGTCCTTGGGATCTGCCCAGTTTGCTAACAGCGCCTGGTGAGTTAAGCAACTTTCCCTTGATTCCTGTGTCCCCAGAAGAAGGGACCTTGAGCCCCACCAGACTATCAGGTGGGGCTTCTTCAACCGGGATCCTGAGAAGCCCCATCTGGCAACACCCTCTGGGACTTGGGGCCTGGGCCTGCGTCTATGGGGAGCGGGTGTGCCTGTATTTTCCTCCCTCGGGATTTTGCAAGAGGAAGGTTCGCTGCTCCAAAGGAACTTGGAAACCCGAGACCCATTCCTCCGTTCTCTTCCAGAACAGCTGGACAGGCCCTGGTGCCTGGCTGTGCCTGGGTGTTCTTGTTAATTGAACGGTATCTTAGGGACGTTTTCTCCCCAGAGACTTGCCCTTTTATGTATGTGTTAGCAGTTAAACAACCTTAGGAGCTGAGTGATGTTGTCTCCATTTTACAGTTGAGGAAAGGAAGGCTTGGAAAGGTTAAATAATTCACTTCTTCAGGCAATTTACAAATAATTGATCCAGAATCCTGTCTCCCAGTGGAGGAGCCCCCGAGGGCAAAGAAAAGATTTGGTCCTGGTAGTTCTCTTGGTGAGGTGCTGGGGAGGCCTGGGGGTCTTCCCAGAGACTCTGCCTGGAGTTACCCCTGATGCTCCCTTGTAAAACCACATGGTTTGATTGAAGCTCTAAGTGGGGACCAAGTTTCTTTTGATTTGTGTCTGTGAGCAAATACCAGGAGATAGAAATAGAGCTGTCTTCAGCTCACTGGAGAGCCTGCGTGCCAACCCCTCAGCAGGCAACTCCATCACTCCTGGAGTTTTGTTGCTTGATATCAGGATTCTGTTGATCTCGGGGAGTAGACTGCCCGCCACATTCTGGGTTGTTTCTCTGTGGTGCTTCCCCAAACTCCTCTGCCTAATGGAAGACACCTCGGGGTGTAGAGGGGGAAGTGTTCTTACCAGCCATTGCTTGCTCTAGAGACCACCCAGCTTCTGAGCCCCTCTCCCCCTCCATGCCCACTACTGGAGTTCCAGAAGGAGAGCACTGGCCACACTGCAAACATCGATGTTTCTGGAACTCGGGTTTCAGCTCCAGAGGCACACTGATCTCCCCCTCTACAGGACAAACTGCATTTCTGCAGCTCAGTCCATGCCAAGGAAGAATTCAAAAACATGTGAGGGCACTAAGCTGTGGACTTCAAGCAAGAGAGCTTTATGGACTCCAGAGTGTTGGCCCCCAGAGTGTTTACCATCTCTAGAGCTAGGGGTTGTGCTAAGGGAGACAGGCAGGCAGGGAGGTACCAGCCCCCGAGGGGCTCACGGGACACCACACTCTACAGTGTGGCCAGCAGCCTCCAGACCCAGCTGGGTTGTGTGCCTAGGACTGTTGCCTGCGGGGAGTTAGGGGGTGGGAGTGAGGTTGAGGGGTCAGTTCCTGCTTCACCTTGTTTTTCTTCAATTTCACAGTTAAAGGGAGAAGTGAATGTGCAGCTCATGAGGCAATTCCCCTTTGGCTGGCTTATTTTGCTTAGCGAACGGTTCCCTCCCTCCCTGAGGCCAGCTGCTCTGTGGGTCTGATGGTGGAGCTCAGGGCCCCAGCAAATGTTTCCTTAATGTGAGACCTTAGAAAAGCTCTGTCAGCCAGGAGGGCCACTTCCTCTATTCCCCCAGTGGACGAGCATGATTCCCAGCAGGGCTGAGGGATGGTCCACAAGGCCAGTGGAAATCCACCTAACAGCAACCCAGAGGATGGCAGGGGACAGCTTGTTTAGCAGGGAACAGAACATTATCTTTGTGCTGCTGCTAGCTAGCATCCTGAGAAGAGCCAGCTTGCACGCCTCCCCTCTCTTCTTGTAGTTCACGCTAAAACCCAATGGTCATTAATGTGGCTGCTGGAAATCCCCCGCCATCATATCAGAAATGCTGCTGGTTTCAAGGTGGGGAAAAAACAAAACAATAAAAACCTGGGAGCCTTCCTCTTCATTCTTTGCAGCCCAACTCTGTGCTTTCTGCAGGACACCCCAAAATATGGTCCACTCTACCCTCCCTGAGGGCCAGCACAGTCCCTGGGGCCAGTTACGTTTCCCTTTCCTGCTGCACGAGAACCCTCCTCCCTCTCCTAAAGTAACACCCTCACCACCTCCTCTACCAGGCTGCTCCTGGAAATGGGTGCTTTCCAAGGTCACCTGCTTTCTGAGCACAGGGAGAGTTGTGGAAGCCCTGGGTGTGGCAGTTCCAGAGTGGTGTGTCAGGTTTGCTCACACCCGGGGAAATAACTTCCACTGGGGAAAAGGCACAGAGGGTGGCAGGAGAAGCCAGAGCGGGAGCAGCCTGCCTGGGATTCAGGTCCTGGAGGGACGCCGCACTCATTTCTCGGAACAAATGATCACACATTTTGTGGCTTAAAACAACAGATACGGCCTCTCTGATGGTTCTGGAGATCAGAAGTTTGAAATCAAAGCGTCATCAGGAACCCGCTCCTGCCAGGGGCTCTAGGGTCAGGGTTAGGGAGCGGAGGGAGCATCCTTCTGGTCTCCCCCAGCTTCTGGTGGCCCTGGGTGGTCCTTGGCCTGTGCTTCACTCCGTCTTTGTCTCTGTCCTCACTTAGCCTCATCTTTGTGACTGTGTCTCCTCTTGTGTCCCTCATAAGGACACTGGTCCTTGGGTTTCGGGCCCACTTGGGTAATCCAGGAGGAATCCTCTCAAAATCCTCAGCTTAACTGCACCTCCAAAGACCCTTTTCCCACACAATTGTCTTTCCAAATAGTGCACAGTTCCCGTGGGTTAAGATGGGGAGAGGCGAGGGTGGGGGCACCCATTGGCCCCCTAGGGATAGAGGGATGTGCTTCTTTCTGCATTTTCTGAGGAAGGTGCTGAGTGCCTCTGCCTGCCTCTGCCCTGTCCTGACCCTGGGTGACCTTGAACCAGAATTTCAGTCCCCCTGCGGAAGCACTGCCCGGAGCCTTCCGCCTTCTTCCCATTCCCCAGCTCTGGGAACAGGCCGCCACCGTCCAGGTCAGCTCTGCCAACTGCCATCCTCCTCCAACCCCCTGGGGTCCCCGCAGCCACCAGACTGCTCTTCCTGACCCTCGGCCACCTTGGTTTCCCCAGCCCCTTCTCTGTGCAGGGCTGCTTCCCAGCCCAGGGTCACCCACCCTCTCTGAGGCCACAGGGCCCCCACATTTTGGGCTGTTCAGCTCCAGGAGAGGTGGGGGCAGGGCCCAGTTCTGGGCTGTGCCTTGGGAAGTGGTTGGCTCACTGAACCCGGAAGTAGTTGTTGACTCACGGAACCCGAGGCTTTCATGGGGAGGGCCTGGTGGTGCTTAGAGGTTTGGGGCTCCCCACTCCCATCGTTGAAGCTTGTAGGAGAGAAGGATGAGGATATGGGGAGCCTGAGTGGGGTGAGGGGGGCTCCAGGGCTCTCTGGGGTGCTGCCTCCATCTCCTGCCTCCCCCCACGGGGACAGTGCTCAAGTCTGGTTGTAAAACTCGGGATGAGCAGTTTCTTACAGGCAGGGCAGCAAAGTCAGAGCCCTGTTAGTGAAACTTGGTGACATCGTTGATGTAGGGGTGGGGGTCATGGGGGCATTGCCACATGGTGTTCGGAGCCAGGACTGGGATTTCTGGGAAATTGACCCAGGGTCACTTGATCACTGAGCCACCTCCCCAGCCCTTTTTTAAATTTTCGAGACACAGCCTCACTAAATTGATTGGGGCTGGCCTTGAACTTGTGATCCTCCGGCCTCAGCCTCCTGAGCTGCTGGGATTAGGGGTGTGGGCCCTGCACCCGGCTGGCTATTCTGCGGGGCAGCTAGGCATGTGCTTTTGAGTTGGCTTTTCTTCATTTGTCATTGCCTTTCCACACTGGTTCACACCTAGCCACCCTGTCTTGGTGTGTTGTAAGGGTCCCAGA